TCTCCTGTCAGCAAGGAAATGACAGATTTGGAAAACATGTTCTTCCTCATGCATGGAAAGATCTTTAATATGTGTGTCTGTTAAAATTAATGATTAAATGTGTACCTGATGGATTGGTTGTATTTTATAAATACTCTGTTCCTTTTTTATGGCTAGTTAGCTATGCTGTATGTAATTTATATTAAGTAATTCAAAATCTTTGTTTCAGTTAAAAGTTTCATCTCAAGGTTGAGAATTTCTAAAAGAGTTAAATGCCATAAGAAACTTCAGGGTTCTTTGGTGTACTTCAGGTCAGGGATTTTATCATTTTCTATTTGGTTTACACATTTACTTTATAAAGTGGGTAGTAAGCAGACACTGTAACTGTTTTGTATGTATAATTTTGAAAAGTTTTTAAAATTTATTTGTTCTTTTTGTTTATACATGATAGTAGAGTGTATTTTGACATATTAGGCTTACATGGAGTACGACTTTCCATTCTTTTGTGTTTGTTTGGTTTTGGGGGAGGAGTTTAGAGAAACATCCTTTAATGGTGTATACCTCAGCACACTCCCACACCCAGATTGGAGTGGAGTCAAAGAAGCAGGGATGAGTGGGTGACCCCACAGAGCCTCACATGGCAAAGAGGAAGAGGAAGGTGACCATCAAACAGAAGAGCCGATGGCCTTAAAAGGCATAGGAGAAGAACTGTTGCTTGAGAGATGGGTTCCTACCAGGGACAGAGATCAACGCCAACCCAGGGAGAGGAGAAAATGAGAGTGGGGGAGGGTGGAGGGCACAGGAAGGTGAGGGGAAGGTGACTGTGAGGGTCTAACCTGCACATACCCTGGGGATCTGATAGATAACAATTTGGCAACTCCAAGTGAACCTGGCTGGACACACATTTAGATTCTGGTTTAGATGTCACTGGCATAGCCAGTGGTCAAGCTGGCTTTATAAAATGGCTAATAAGCAACCTGGTAACATTTTTGTATTTCTAATGTTTAAAAGTTTTTTTTTTTTAATTATTGATCATTTTGTTTATACATGATAGTAGAGTGTATTTTGACATATTAGGCATACATGGAGTATAACTTTGCATTCTTTTGTGTTTGTTTGGTTTTGGGGAGGAGTTTAGAGAAACATCATTTCTCTAAATACAGTTCCAAACCAGCCTCTGATCTGGTCACACCAACAGTGGCAGCCCTGCCACCAATGAACTTGTCTGCTGAGTCAATGTCCCAGGAGACAGTCCTGTTCTGGAACTTCTGTCTGGCCACCTGGAGAGGAGCTGGTGTAGGAAGGCTGTTTAGATGAGTCCTGTGGTCTGCTCAGAAGGGAGACAGTCACAGGCCTGATTAGACCCCTGGTACAACAGCGGGTCAGAGCTGGAGAAATAAGCAGTGCCTGGGTGGTCTGCATTTTTTCAGTCTCTCAACTTTAGTCCTTGGTCTCAGTGTTCAGCTGCCCAACCCACGTATTTCTAACTTCCCATTCTTGTGGTTGTTTGTGGGGTGAAGATAACTGGTCATGTACTCACACATGAACACAGAAAACCTACGTCCAGTTCATTCTACTGCCTTTCCTATTCCCACCTTCTTCCATCCCTTCATTCCTCTTTCTCTAATCCAATGAACTTCTGCTCTTCCCTCCCCCATCCCCCAACATTCTGTGTTAGCATCTATGCATATCACAGAAAATTCAGCCTTTGGCTTTTGGGGGATTGGCTTATTTCTCTTAGCATGACAGTCTCCAGTTCCATCCATCTACTGGCAAATGCCATGATTTCATTCTTCTTTATCACTGAGTAATATTCCATTGTATATAGATACCACATTTTCTTTATCCATTCATCTTTTAAAGGGCTCTGTTGGTCCCATCGTTTAGCTATTATAAATTGAGCTGCTGTAAACATGAATGTGTCAGCATTAGTATAGTATGCTGATTTTAAGCCCTTGGGGTATATGCCACTCAACAAACATGTACTGATCAGCTCTTATTTTTGAGACACTGTTTAAGACATGGGACACATGGAAATGAACAACATATGAGAAAATTTTGTGCCCTCAAGGGTCTTACATTTTAGGAATTGACGGGCAAGGGAGTGATGGAAAGTCTAAACCACAAAGACAACAAAGAATTAAATTACACAGTGTATTGAAAGGTTCACAACACTGTAGGAGATGTGGTCCCTGGTGAAGGGAATCAGATGGAAGGAAGGGAGAAACCCTGAGAGGTGATTGCAGTTTCAAAGAGTGTAGTCAGACAAAGCCTCCTTGAAAGGTACAATTTGAGAAGAGGCTTGAAGGAGGTGAGGAGTGTTTTTTAGGCTTAGAACAGCAGGTGGGCTCAGGGGGTCTGGACTGGAGTGATTGAAAGGGAGCATAGCAGTGGAGCAGGCAGAGCCAGAGTCTGTGAAGCAGTACAGCCTGTTTTTGTGAATAAAGTTTTATTAAAACAGAGCTAATGTCCATGTGTTCTCCTATTTTGCATGGCCACGTTCATGCTACAAGTGCAGAGTGGAGCTGTGGAGACAGAGACAATCTGGCTCACAGACAGTTATGTATTTACCATCTATCGGTCTTTTTATGGAAAATGTGTATGTCCCCTATCATGGATAGAGAAAGGCAGTAAATGGTTAGGGATTACGTTAGAGCAGAAATCGGGGAATGGAGTTAGAAGTGGGTAGGTTCTAGATGTGATATGAAGAGAGGGTAGATGAAATTTACTAAAATTCCAAGTGTGTAATTGGGAGAGAGAGAAAGGAGTCAAAGAATGTCGAAGATTTCTGGCCTGGACAACTGGAAAGATGACCCTATGGAAGACAAGGAAACTGTGTATAGACCCGACACCCCACCCCCACCCACAGGGGAAGGAGAGCAAATAGGAGATTCCTTCTCTGATGTGTTCAGAAAGAAGATACAAAGAAAAGAAAAAGACACATTTAGACTAGAAGCCATGTCCCCATTCTCCACCTATCCAGCAGACTACTCCCTTTTCCTGTGGCCAGATGTCCCTCCCCCACGAACCTTGAGATTGCTTCTCACTCAAACACCAACATAGCAAGCAAAGACACCAGGTGCCATGGTCGTTACAGGTGACTCACAGTCTGCCTCAGAGTCTTAACTAGTCTGGGGGAAACGAAGCTCTGCTTCAGGGAACTGAAACCTGCAATATCCCCAATTTAAAATAATTATGTTATCCATCAAGATTTCAGAAACATGCAGGCAGCAGTGCAGTTTGGAGTCTCCTAAAACAAAGAGAAGAAAAAGACACATTTGGCCTAGAGGCCATGTAAATAGATGAAAGAAAGCCAAACCCTGGAGTAGCATTTACCACAAAAGTAGAGAACACAGTGTTCCCTAGGAACCTCAGAACAAGAGGATAGGGCAAACCACCAGCAGGAGGCACCAGACCTGCCTGGCAGCAGCACTTGCAGCAGAGGAAATGGGAGACAGGAGGCTTTCAAGGCTCCAGCAGGCATTCCTGCAAAGCCCTGTGGGCCAGCAGGAGAAGAGCAGCTGAAACAGAGGGGTTCTGGCCAACCCCAAAGTGAGTGCAGTAGGTCTCCTACAATATGTATTATACGATGTATAATCAATATGGTACAACAGCTATTTACATAGCATTTACATTGTAGTTACGATAAGTAATTAGAGATGATTTAGATCATTTGAATGTGTGCAGTCTCTCTTCAACTCTGTGGAATTTGGTGTCTGTGAGGGGTCCTGGGTGCAATTCTCTGTGGATACTGAGGAGCAGCTGTAAGTACAAATGTCCCACATTCAAATCGGAAGGGCTGACGCTGTCCAGCCCCTAAACTCTCTTGAAAAATGAACAGCCAATGCTCCTTTTCAGGACAAGGCCTCACCCAGAGGAGAAATCGCTGGGAGGAACAATAGACACAAAGGATAAACCTCCGTGTGGAAACAGCCAGAAAATTTTAGAAAATAAGTTGACATGTTTTTAATACTTCAAGAAGGAAGAGGAGGAGGAGAAGGAGGAGAGCAAAGGGAGAATGGGGAGGGACAGAACTGGAGGGAAGAAGAAGAGGTGGAGGAAGGAGAGGTGGAAGTTGCCGTTCCATCACATAAGAAACTCTATCCTCAACCATGCTTTTACAAAGAAAATGAATTTTGCATAAAAGTGCATAGCAAGAAAAGAAGGAAACCAAATCCCAAATAAAGGTATTCTAAGAAACAGGAGAATAGCATTCTTTCAGACGATGAAAACAAGTCAGAAAAGAACCCCCTAAGCACAACAGATGGTAGCCCACTCTTTCAAAACTAGCTAAAAAACAGAAGGCCAGGCAATGCAAAATAGGACAGAACCTGAGAGGGGAATGGAAAATTATATCATGGATATAGCTTTCTGTTTGGGATTGTGAAAAGTTTTGGATTTGGATAGTGGATAATGCTTGAACAACATTGTGCATGTACTTAATGCTATAGAGTTAGCCACATAAAAATGGTTGAAATGTTAAGTTTTATGTTTCATAATAAAAAAGAACAACATAAGTGGAAATTAGATGAGATGGTAGAAATCAAAATAAGACTAATCTAAAAGGGAAAACATGAATGAACATAATAGATAATATCTAAAAAGAAAGAATAATGAATTAAAAAAAATGAAACACATGATAAAAAATATCCCAGAGACCTGATAAATAGGAAAAGCAAGAAAGCCAGGCAAATTCTACAAAGAAGAATGCAAATACACATAGGAATTTAATATGTCATAAAGGTTACATTTCAAATCTGCAGGTCAGATAATTTAACAAATTGTGATACATACATTTTGGGGTTAAATATCTCTGGAAGTTTCCAAAATGTGGGAAAAGGCGATGTCTCCTGTGGGAAGAGTGGTGAAGATGGTGACTGGCAATTTTGAGGGAATGGAAAGCTGTTGGGGCTGCTGGGTCCTGCAGCTGTTGGCAGGTTGCTCCTTGTGCATGCGCACTGTGCTTGCGTTGGGTGGAGATGGAAGCCAAGGAGTGATTATTTTCTTGTGAGCTTTGGTTCATGGTAATGGTCCCTGAAGACAGCGCTTGCCAGAATCAATGGAGGAGAACTTGGCAGGACTCTCAGTTCAGTATGTATCCCCCTTTCAATTGTGATCTCTCTCCTCTACCCTCTACCCTAACCTCTATATGTTGTGCTCTGAAAGCCAGGTTGGCTGCCTGTGGGACAGACCAGGTTGCCTTGTCAACACTGAGGTCTCCAGGCCACAGGCCTCAGATTGAGGCTTTGCTTCTCTGCATACAATTTGATCCTAGAGCAGTAGATCATTAGTAAAGTGTCACCGAGTGATACTGACCTTGTGTGAGAAGGTTAATTGAAGTAGTGCCTCTCTGCTGCCCTGGTGCATGATTGTTGAGTCAATGGTGATTTATTCCAGGCCGTGTTCTGGGTGGGCCTCATGCTGCTGCAGTTCACTAGGCCAAGTCCCAGGTTATCAGCTGCCCTCAGGATAGCTGTGAACCCTTGCGGCTCCCCTGGTAGAGTCCCCGTGTTTTGTATCCACCTTTCCCACCTAGGATCTTCAGGGACCCAAACATGGTGGAGATGTGTCCTGAATCTTATTTTGTAAAATGCCTTCTGGTAGGTCAAAAGACCTAGGCCATTCTGCATGAGAGTTGAGAGATTTTTGCATTTCTTCTGGTCAACCTGAACCCATCTCCTACCATTTTCAACTTGATTCACATTTCATCATTTTAACCCTAGTTTCAAACATTGTGTTATTGGTCAGCCATTTTGCCAATTCCTGATTCTTCCAGTAAGCCCATACATCTCTCTTCTTTTTGCCTTACTAGTGCTGTATCATATGCCTTCCTCTTTTCCCCATTCCTAGCCTTTACCCCTGTTCTCCTGGCCAACTTTCTTCTCATGCAGGCTGTGATCCACACCTCTACCAAACAAAACCACACTTAACAGCCATTCTAACGCCAAAGTCCTGTTTATTATCTATTAATCAATTCCACTACATGTCTTTATTCAACGTTATTGTTTTAAAAGTATATTGGAATGAGTACGTATTTATACCTCTATGAGGAAAAAGGTTTGTAGCCAAGTGGTAACACAAGGACTCTACATTATCTATTAATAAATTCTATTAAATTACTTCATTCAATTTTATTAAATTGTATTAAATGTATTAGAATGAATAAATTTGTGCCTACATATCTACATATTTATAAAAATTTGTATCTATATATGTGTAGAAAACTATGTAATCCCCAAGCATATCAAAAAGTCTCTTTATAACTTATCTCTCAAACTATTCTATTACATATCTTTATTCAACTATCTTAACACTTAAAAACGTATCAGTGTATAACTTTGTATCTATGTAACTCTATATATGTAGAAACCTATTTGGTATTCAAATGATACCATAAAGCCTCTCTATTATTTACCTATTAATCAATCTTATAGCATTTCTGTATTCAACTATATTACATTTTGAACTGTGTCTAAATGAATAATTTTGTATGTATCTATCTATCTATGTATATATGTGCAACACTATTTGGTACCCATGTAGTACCCAAAGGCCTCTTTATTTTCTATCAATTCTCAGTGGTACTAAAAGGCCTCTTTATTATGTATACTTATATTATTATATTACATTATTAATTTAATTTTATTAAACATTGAATGTTTATGAGAATAAATAAATGTATATCTCTCTATCTATATACATGTGGAAAACTATTTGGTCCCTAAGAGGTACCACCGATCTCAGCCGCTCTTACATTATGTAGCCATAGTAGCGAGAAATCTCCATCTCTCTTTCCCTCTCAATGAAACACTGCACTCTCCCCAAAGCAGTGTACTTGGCAGCATTCTCCCGCTCTTGTTGAGCCTTCTTCTTCATGGCTTCCCGCTCTGGCCTCTGCTGTTTGGTGATGGGAGTTGATATTACTTGCCCAGGAACATTGGGTTTCCTCCATGGAATTGGTTGTAACGCAAAGTCTTGGAGTAGATATTGGTTTTGAGGCTTGGGCAGTTGTGACTGGGGCTTGGTCCCAACAGTGGGAACGGGTTGCCACTGGAGAGAAGTGCAAGATGATGTTTTGTAAGGTGCAGGCACAGAAGCAGCAGACCGAGGGACAGTAGCCTGGGTAGAAGTGGTCACACCTGACTGAATGGCATGGGTCAAAACAGGCTGAGCTGGCTTGGCAGGACGCATCCAAGATAGGTTGGCAGTAGCTGGTTGGGATTGGTTGACTGCCATGGGTTGAGCTGAGCTAGCAGGGCCAGGCTGGGCAGGGTAAGCCCCAGTGGGTCTCCGTGAAGCCAGAGACTGTGGCCTCCTATTGATTACTGGTCGAGGTGGAGGTTTCTCCAGGGTCAGAAAAGGCAAAGGTACCAATTTAACCTTCCCAGGTGGTGGAGGCTCATAAATGGATGGAGCGGGACCTTCTCCTTTAGCGCTGATATCTGGGTTCTGGGCTTTGACTTGTGATTTCTCAGCACGCTTATCCGCCAGCCATGGTTTCATAGCTGGGCATGGACGGGGGTCTTGGGTACTGCCTGAGTTTCCCGGGGCCCGGGAGGAAGAGAGCCCAGTTTTCTTATCATTCTTCTTCCCCAGTGTGTGGAAAACCTGCACCGACTCCAGCATGTGCATGCCGAGACAGCTCCGAGGCTTTTTAAAGGTCTCTTGGCAAAGCTCAGGTTGGTTCTTCTTCCTCTTCAGTTTGAGCAGAGTTGGCTTCTCTTCTGCCTTGACTTTGTTGCCTGGCTTCTTCTTCTCCTCGGCTTTCCTGGAGTTGTTTTCTCTGGTCCTCTTGGTCTTTTCCTGCCCATGGCCCTTAGCCTTGCTGTTCCTGCTGGATGCAGCTTCCTGAGCTTTGCTGATAGAGTGCTTGGCTGTGTGCACAGGGGCCCTACTACTGTCTGCATCCCTGTGAGCAACTTCTCCTTCCAATGTGCACTCTTGGTCCCTTGGCTGCATTTTGGCCTGAGGAGTTCCATCAGGAGACTCTGAGGCTTTATGTTTGTTCTTCCTCATTGGCTCACTAGGACCCTTTAAGGCGCTTGTGATTTCCTGACCCTGATTCACCGTGATGGCTCTGGTGTCATTGGATTTTGTTATTGTGGGACTTTCAGGTTGGTCAAAGTCTTTTAAGGAACTGAAAAGCTCAGGAAGTTGAGTATCCCCCAGCAGTGCAGTGAGGTCTGCAAAACCACTGCTAAATTCAATCCCATTTTCAAGTGTGCCTTGGCCCTCAAGACTCAGGCTATTCCTTTCTAGATGGATATTTTCAGAATGTGGCTTCTCTTCTTGGTCCAGAGGACCAATGGAGGCCAGAAGCTGGTTGATTTCAGGGATGTCTAAAGGGAGTAGTGGAGGATCCTGGTTCTCCATGGCAATTTGGTAGGAATCCAGTGGTTCTGAGAGCATGGTGTTAATCTCACACAAATTCTTAATCTCTGTTTGTTCCTGGCTTTGATTTGGAGGCAATGCCAAAAAATCAGTAGAACTCTGGATTGGAGTTACTGTGGAAATGTCCCCAAGTTCAGTTTGTGAGTTTTTCTCAATTATTTGGCCTTTTCTGTTATTGCAGATGTATGGGAATTCTGGAGGCTGTGGCAGACAAAATGTCTGACTTGGAGGTTGCAATCCCAAGGAAGCCTCCATCCCTAGGGAAGTTTCCATCCCTGCAAAGGAATCAAGGACGATGGTAAGTAGGATGCTCCCCCTTCCCAGAAACACACTATTCAGGGAAACCACCTACGGTGGAGAAAGCATTTCTATTAGCTCTTTTTAAGGACCACTGACAGGTATCTGTTAAAAGTTGCATATTAGTTACAGGTGATCCCTTGAAGTCTTACTTTTGGGCTGGTTCATCACCATGGCAGCATGGGTTTTGGTAGAGCACTTGTCTCGTCTGTGGGAAACACCGAAAAACTGTTTCATGAAGTCTCTCTTTCTCATATAGGGGCCTCTCAATTCTCTCCACTCTCCCCAGAATGTAAGAACTCTTAACACCATGAACTAGGAGAGGGTGGAGCTATTGCTCATGAAATCAGTGTGAAAGGTCAGGGGTTTTGGACTCCTGCTTTGGACAGCATCTCTACATACAGAGGTTAAATCCTTCAGTCAATTAAGGAACAATTAAATTGTCACACCCTGGTATGTGTTGATGTATTTCTCTAAACCAAAATAAAATTAGGGAAATATATTTATAGTGTGGTTATGTAGCTGGACTGAGTGCAGGACCCTTATCCGCCAGCCATGGTTTCATAGCTGGGCATGGACGGGGGTCTTGGGTCCTAGAGGTCTCTTAAACGCATGGGTGGCCATTATGGTGTGCTGCATGCTTCTCTTACAGAGTCTGAAAATGGGGACTGCCGAACAAGATTGTGGTTAAAATCTCAGCACTTGAATTCTAGGGATGTGTGGACTCACAGTTACCAGCTGAAAACTGGACCCTCCTTTCGAATGGTAATCTTATTCCTTCCCCTTTTTGCTGTTTGTACTCACCTTGAAAATTTGTTCCTTCTATACTTTGAGTGGACACAGAGTAGTAGATCACAGGTGTAGGGACTGATGGTAGGACATTTGTGGGCTGAACTTCCTTCAGCACTGTCACCATTTCTGGTTGAGGGGCAGCGGCACAAATTCCTGCATATGGCACAGAGCCATAGGATTGCAGGCAGGGCCAATGTTCTCCAGAGAGCAGAGTCCCCAGAGAGTTTTGATCATAGTAGTAGACCTGGCTTCCTTCTTGGTGGGGTAGTGAGAGGCAATGTCCTTGATTTGGAATCTGAGATAGTGTCACCTGGACGAGCCTACCAGACAGTAGTGGATACCCGGGGATCATGACATTGGCTTCGGAAGTTTTGTCATACTGGGATATCATAGATAGGGAAGAATCTGCTGTATTCTGGTCAGTGACAGTCAGATTAAAGTCCCCGAGTGAAGATGAGCTCTTTTCAGCACTTCCTGGGATATACCACTCAGAAATGCTTGGATAGGGGGCAGGTGCCATGGGAGTCTGGTTCTGGCCAGTAACCCCAGACACCATGGCTGTGGTAGCATGTTGATAAAGGTAGGCACTGCCCATGAGTGGCTGGAAGGAGGTGCCACAGGTTGAGGGCAGTAACCATGCTGAAGTGGCAGCTGGAGCAGAGGCTCTGGAGAAGTTGCAGACACTTCCTGTCCCAGAAGCTGCATTGGTCACCACAGGAAGAGAGAGCTGCAGAGAATCAGCATTTCCATGTAAAGAAGAATTTTGGAAATTTTCTGTAGGAAGAAGAGGGTGGTGAAAATATTGATGAGACAGGCAGATTCTTACAATATTCGAGGAATAATGACATCTTAATGTTGTAGTAATCAGGAAGGCCCTCATTCCAATAATCATTGAGAGACCCCAAATCACTCCATTTAGGATGGCTGCAAGTACTCTTCTGATTACCTGCCTTTTCTCTCAAATTGGGCACAGAAGTCCCAAGTGGTCTGCTTCACACATTGTTCCCTAAAAGCATCCTTCTACCCGTCTTACCTTTCCTTTGAGCCTGCACTAGTATTGACTCCTGAATTTGCCCTAGAACTGAAGCATTTTCAAACTCAGAGAAAACCCCAACATTACCAGTTACCAAATGAGTCCTCCAAGGGTCAGGGAAGTGAGACCGACTTGTTCAAAATCAGCAACAGATTATGGAAACTTACTCCCTGGCCAGGACTCTTGTTCCAAAGACCAGAAATCTGGAGAAACAGAAATTTGTTTTTCCCTGTTCATAGAAAATCGTACTGATATCACCACAGTGATCTTTAGTATCTCCTTTTGTTTGTCCAGGTCACATCATATTTCCTGGAGTTCAGTTTTATCATCCAAATGATAATTTAAGCGTCATTCTTTGCCCTCTTTCAGCCTAACTGCTGATCCTACATGAAAATGACTACCTGAAATTCAGTTTCTCAAGAAATGCTTCTTGAAAGAAATTGAAACTTTCTGAGCTTCAGGTTCCTCATCTTTAGTGTGGTTATAACAATACCAACAGTGATAATTCATCCATGAATAAAAGTGTCATATTACATAAGATTCATGTGGGGGCTGAGATTATGGCTCAGCGTTAGGGCGCTTGCTTAGCACATGCGAGGCCCTGGGTTCAATCCTCAGCACCATGTAAAAATAAATAAAATAAAGGTATTGTGTTGAACTACAACTAATAAATAGATATTACAAAAAGTTTCATTTGGAGGGAGTTACAGTATGTTCTGGAAAGATAGAAGCAAAAGTCAAAACCAGCTCAGAACTAAAAGGAATGACTAGATAGTAATGAACATATGTATATGTAGCAAAAGTGAGTGTATATCAAATTTGCTAAGAAATGAGTTCTGTGATCATGCATACAATATTATGAATGTTTCTCTTTGATTTTAGTGAATACTGTTAATCAAAACAAAGCTCATAATTGAAGGTGAGTTTGCATTCTCAAGTAGTACATATAGACAGAGAAACTATACTAAAAATGTGTGTAATTTTAAGTAAAGTGAACACAAATTTAAGTAAAGTGAACAGATGGGTAGCCACGTGGAGAAGCGAAAACTAAAGCCAAAACCCATGATGAATCTGGGCATGGTGTGGTGGGCCTCTGGTCCCAGCATGTGGGAGCCTGAGGCAGTGGGATTGCAGGAAACCAGGAATTCAAAGCCACTCTGGGCAATTCAGCAAGATCCTATCTGAGAAAACAAATAAAATATCCTGGAGATATAGCTTGTGGTAGCATGCTTGCCTAGCATGCATGAGACCCTGTGTTCAATCCTCAGAACTGGAAAGAAGAGAAGAAAGGAAGAAAGAAAGAATGAATGAGAGGAAGGAAGGAAGGCATAAGGAGCAAGGCAGGGAGGGAAAGAGAGAGAAATGGAGGGAGTGAGGGAAAGAAGAAGGAAAGGAGGACAGAAGGAAGGACACAAGAAATTTTGTACATACTAGAGAAAAAAACAATAAGTGTAAAGTAATTTCATTACTGTTCTTGTTTCTCTTCCTCTAAGGATTACCAACACCAAATAAAAGACATTAATTCCACTAGGTAGATATTTCAATTAATATAAACACATTTTCTGATAATCCTTTTGGTTATTTAAAAAAAACAGAAAAAATGCTTTAACAAAATCATAGAAGCCTAGTTTATTATCACATTTAGAGAAAAATCTTGTCCCTAAAGTCTGAGAAAACCATCACAGTATAATAAAATAACAAATTTAAAACAATTTTTGTCTTTTATTCTGATATTTTCTTCTCCCTTTTATATTAAAACAAAATTAATACAAAAATGTTTGATCTACCCTACACCCCAGCCCCGAAAAATTATTTGAAATGTAGACAAAACAAAAAGTCTTCACATAATTATTTAAATAAACTTGGAATTAGAGGTGTGAGCTTGAATTTTTATTCTTATATAGTTCTTTCTTTCGGTTCTTAGATTTAGAAATCATCAATGACTATTTGTATATTGTCTGTTTTAGAAAAAAAAAAACCGTTGTAAAGATGGAAAACAGCTTCATCTTGACAGCTTATATGTCACCAAGGAATGTGTCCTTCTGATGCAGGTTTGGACAAAACATTTTTTAGAAATCCCTGTAGTTTAAAAATCAGAACAAAATAGGACATGGAAAATGCCATTTCCCCAGCTCTGTCTAGAACCACTTTCCTTGGCATGTTTGGAGGAAGAATAATTTCTAAAACATACTTCTAACATGTTCATGTTCAAACTGTCAACATCATCTGTGTTGAAAGAGATCATAGAAAAACTGTAACAGCCAAGTGTGACTTTTCTGATAACCTGCTTACCCCAGTGATACCCTAATTCAAGTCTTAGTTTCCTTGCTGGTCTGTTAATCTAAACATTCTCTAAACCAGCCTCTGGGAAGATTCAATCTATGCTGTCTGTTGGTTTAAATAAAATCTTTGCTTTTCTTCCACATCCATCCCAACCCACCTCTTTTTTCTCGAGAACATCATTCTCTTCATCTCTATTATTCAAACATTTTCTTCTCCTTTATTTTTATATTTTCTTCCTCCACCGAGTTCCTGTTGCCTTGTGCTTAAACAGTCACAAACTTGCTTTCCCAAGAACATCTGCCTCCTTACAGCCCTGTCCTCCTGTTCCTCTCTCCCTATTTCTCTTTTCAGCTAGTTTAAACAGAAAACTCCCAAATATGTGAATGTCCCTTTTAGGAACAGCACTAAATTTGAAATACTGAAGTAGAAATCTTGGTGAAGGGAAACTGTTACAGAGGAAACCTCTTGGTTTCCACCCTGCCTAGGATTTGTCTCTTTCAGTTGAAACAACACAACCATGAAATCTGATTTCATTCTCTATAAACATGCCCCTCAAGATGCAAGAAAAGTAAGGGACCAGAACATGGGCAATCTGTTATCCTCATGTAGCAAATCAGGAAACAGATTTTGTGAGAGAGTAAGATAGTCCAGTTCTATACCTAGTACATGTCAAATTCCAAATGAAATTAGGTGTCCAGATTTCTAGTTCTATCCTTTCCCCTATTATTCTAAGCTCTTTTGACTCCATTAGTAAATTGAGGCAGGTAAAAGTCTAATGAAAAACTTTAAAAAGTTTCTTTACTCACCTGACATGGTCAGAGAAGAGGTCACATCAATTGTAGATACAAAGGATGAGGAGATCACCCCAGAGGATGTGTGGGTGGCTGAGGCTAGAGAATGCATGTTTCCCAATATGGAGTTCACTGGTCACTGTTTACTGGCCACTCTAATGACTGGTTACTGGTCACTGGTCACTTGCGATGATCCAAATTTGTTTACAACTGCATGGCAAGCCTAAGATTCTAGCAGGTGGCAGTAGGTTTGGTGGGAGAATGATGTCACAAAACTGGCCGTTTAAAGGTATGAAGTAGCCAATAGAGTGGTCAGACTCCCAAGGAGAAGGTGCGATTGGGTGGGGAAAATGACAAGAGAGTTGATTGGGTGGAGAAAGTGACAGGAGAGTTATAATAGAAACTAAATGGCTCAGTTCTGGTAGGTGAAGCCCTGCAAGAGGGACATAATGGGCTCACCCCATGGCTCCCTTCCTTCAGGCTCTTGTGTTAGGGATATCATCTCCATGTTCCTCTTATATGTTCATTAAAATATTATGAATATGTTATAAATTATGTTTCACAGTATAAGAGGTAATAGCGATACATTACTCTATTAACATATGCAGTTAACATCCCTGGAGATGGAAGAAAGAGACATCTAGGTTGAGCAAGTATAGTGGTTCTGGAACCACAGAAGTTGATTTGATTAGTGAAGTTACTGCAGTATTCAAGGATTCAGAAAGGGGTTAAAAAGTTTTTTTTTTTTTCCTAGTTGTAGATGGACCCAATACTTTTATTTTATTCATGGGTCAAGCCCAGTGCCTCACGCGTGCTAGGCTAACGTTCTACCACTGAGCCACAATCCCAGCCCTAGGGGGAAGTTC